AGGCCTGGCGGGACAGATTTGGCCCGCGGGCCTTGTGTTTGACACATGTGATCTAGAAGGTTCCCATGACCCCACTTTGTATTCAGCACTCAGGTGGAAGAAGCCACCAACATCAGCCATGGAGACAAGTCCTGTCATACTCGCATCTGACTCACCTCTAAGTGACTCGCCTCCCCAGGGATCTTTCTCCCCACAGTTGCCCTTCAGAAATGTCTGAGGGAGGAGGCACCATCTGACTGGAGAAGAACGTATCAACTTCTACATCAGCTTTGATTTTTCTCTTCCCCCCACCCCCCGCCTCCAAATTATATAATTTTTAAAAGCGCACTGGGGCAGGATGTGTGTTTACTTTTGAGAAGTAAAAATGTTAACATTTAAACTGAAAGCCTGTTTCAGTTTTAAGGTACTTAATTGCCTTACAGCGTATAATAAACCGAGCCCATCTTGTCATTCAACTAATGGAAGGAGTGATAAAGAGATAGGAGCCTGGGACCCTATTCATTCCAGTCTCCCTTTGTACTGGGTTTACTTTGGCACAATGCCTCGTGTGTATTTTACACTTCTTTACATTTTGTACATCCCTGTATGACAAATACTTGTCAAACAGAAACTAAACAGATTTATAACCCCTTAACTTGAAATGAGCCAAAATTGAACTGCCAAAACTTTATGACTTCATTTTCTTTCATAGTTTTCCACTACATTGGTTCAAACAGACAAACCCCACCGGAGGTCAAGCAGAGGTCATTTCACTTTCATTACTAAAATATAATTTACAATATGCCAGACCTAAACAAGTTTAGCCTAAGGGGTTTGTATAATGTAAACCATCTGTTCCCCAACAATACAGCTAATTTCCTGCCGTTACCGTACATCCACTGGCTGCTTCTTTAAGGGCTTTTTATGATTTTTTAACTAGTTCAGGATTTATGTGAAATTTGAAAATGAGTCTGTACTTAAGACTCATTTGTACCAAGTAACTTGAGCATTTAAAAAATGCAAATCACTGTGTAAATTATTCCCCTGGAACCCAGCCCCGCACCGGCTTTCTCTGGGCACGTCCATGCTAGCTGCAGCACAGGTGTTTGCAGGGAAGATTCTGTGAAATCTGCCATGTTCGGTGCTTTCTATGCTTCTTTCCAAAGCACTCCCCCAAATGTGGCTCTGACCAGCTCCGGCAAACCCCTCCCCCTCCCTGTTTGAGGCTGGAGCAGAGCTGACACCCTGTGCTCGGTGACCCACCAGGTACTGGTAAGAGATGGCAAGACACACTATGGGTTGAAATGGACTCTTGTGTGTGTCTGAACAGGGAGGTGGAACCGCTTTAACTCCACTGAGTGGCCACACACTGAAGGCTGGCCTCACAGCCCCGAAGGTGTCAGGCCCCAAGGCGGAGCCTTCAGAGACAGGCCAAGGCCCACGGGGATTCTGTCTGTGGTGTCAGACAGAATGGCAGGGCCCAAAGCAGAAGGCTTTGCATACTGGAGTGCAGCTTTTTTGGGTCCTGCAAAGTCTCAATAATCGTGAAAGCCTCTTTCTTCACCTGGCTCATTTGCCACCTGGGTGTAGGGGACTGTGGGCAGGCTTTTTCCTCATGAATCCCCAGGGACCACGCGTCTGGCTGGTGCCAATTTGTATGAGTCCCAAGTCATGTGGGTTGAATTACACCACACTGCTTACAGGTTCACTTCATCAGGGGCAGGAGGAGGGATGAGGAGTTCTAATTCCTCATTATATCAGTCTACTATTCCTTGGGTTTAGTTCCAAATTCCCATTTTCCCTCAGAAGACGTGTATTACTCAGTCCCTTGTTCTTCTCTATCACCAAAAGCCAGAGGACCCTGTTTGTATATAAAAAAGGAACACCTTCTATGCCATTCAAGGGACCTTCCCATAAATTGGATTCAGTTGCGTCATTAGAAAACATTCTGATGGAAATCTCAATCTTAATGTCCTGCAGGAAAAAAACCACTTTGGCTTAGCCTTGTCACAAAAGCAAAATCATCTGAGTACAACAAGAGAAAAAAGTAGGGTTGGTTCTGTGGGTTCCTTTTCCCATCCGCCAAATGCTGTTCTCCCAAAGGAACTCCATAGCACCCGCAAAAATCCAGGCCCTATAAGCAAAATGGAAAATAGTGGGTGGGCCTGTGATTGCAGAATAAATTATCTGATTCAATCTGATGGAAAGATTGGTCATAATTACATACTTTTTGGATTGGTAATATATTTGCCTGGTTTAAAACTTTAAAATAATAAAAAGGCATGAAGTAAAAAAAAAATAACCTTCCACCCAGTCCCCTCCTCCTAGTTCTCACCTCTGTGCCCTCCCAGTAGCCACTGTTGTTTCCTGAGCATCATTTCTTTATGCAAAGAAACATGAATATATTCTTTATCTTCTCTTCTTTCTCACAAAAGCAGAATACAGTATTACTATGTGGTTTGTTTGTTTTTTACTTTTTATTTTAAAATATGTTTTATTTTATTTCAGAGAGAGGAAAGGAGAGGGAGATGAAGAAACATCAATTGGCTGCCTCCTGCACGCCCCCTACTGGGGATTAAGCCAGTAACCCAGGCATCTGCCCTGATGGGGAATCCAATTAGCAACCTCTTGTCCATGTGACAGCACTCAACCAACTGAGCAACACTGGCTGGGTTTTGCTTTTTATTTTTAACTCAGCAATAGGATTTTGGAGATCTCTCCATATCAGTACATAGAAAGAGTCCTAATTTGTCCTATATAATATTTTGTTTACTGGCTCCACCATAATCAATTGGATTTCTCCTCTAGGTAAACATTGAAGTTGTTTTAACCTTTTGCCATTACAAACAATACTATAATGAACAAATAGATTAATAAGCTTTAATTTACTGAATATCTAAGCAATGCATTACTATTAGTTTCAGCAGAACTAACTTTCCTATTAGACATTTTCAAATACAAATCCCATAAACTCTGCTTGAACAAATAAATGAGACCTATTTATTATAATACTAGAGGCCAATGCACGAAATCCATGCAAGAGTAGGCCTTCCTTCCCCTGGCTGCCAGCACCGGCTTCCCTCTGGCCCCCAGTTTCCCTCGCAGCCCATTTCATCTGGAAGGTCATCTGGCAGGACGTCTGGTCTAATTAGCATATTATGCTTTTATTATTTTAGATTTGCAGAGAAGAATTAATGTTTTGAAACCCTCAATTCCATTTTGTCCTTCTAACTGGGTGTTTTGCTGGAAGTCTATTTACACTTATAATTAGGTTAGAGGGCATTTTTTGCCCTGGAAAATGTCAGCCTAGAACAGATCCAATCAGCATGAATTCTAAATTAGTAGAATTTGGATTAGAGAAGGTTTCTTTTTTTACTTAATTTTACAAACTGTTGTTTTAAACTCCGTGTGGAGAGCTCTGCATTCCAGATGGATTTGCAGCATTGTCAGCTCCAATTGGGATCCTCAGAGCAGCATTCTTTTCCCCAAAAATAAAGATTTAAGGTACAGGGATTATTTCAAAAATCCGTTTATGTACAAATGCATTGCTTTTATGACTTCTTCCCTAACAAATTAGAATAAATGTCAGGCTAGATTTGAGGTGAATTTTTAAAAATAGGGAAAACACAGGATCTGGTCGACATTTACTGCCAAGATCAAATGTCACCGTTTAATACTTATTTTTATTGTGAGGCACATGCTTTCCCCGTCTGTGTTAAGGGCAGTCAGTCAACAGCCCACTTGCAAAGCCGTAGGAATATCAATTGGTATGAAGGGAAATGCAAGACATTGAAATCTGATTAAGACAAAACAGCAAGTGATAATAGTCAAAGTTAAGTAGCATTTACCACATGTCAGACAGCATGCTGAGTACTTTACAAATGTTAACATTAAATTAAAAGTTTGAGAGAATCCTACAAGATAAGTAAATTGTACCAAGTATTATCATCTAATTTTACAGACAAAGGAATTGAGGTATGAGGCGGTTCAGTATTATACCCGGGGTCACACAGCTGGTAAGTGGAGATTGCAGGATTCAAATCTGATTGGCTGGCTGTAGAGGTCATGCATGTAACCAGCCACCACCCTGCTCCTTGCACGGAGGGGCATTCAGACCATAAAGCCAAAGGACTCCAGAGGCCAAGACCGTAGTGGTCAAGGAGCACTTCAGATGAGGCAAAGCTTCAATAAGCAGAGGGGGCACATCCCAAGCCTCCCCACCTCTACGGTGAGCACCACCGCGGGACAGTCACGGTGGTTTAGGGTGGAGAACAAGGAAACCTATTTAACTACAGTGATGCTGTCACAGAGAGGAGTAGCAAGGGTAGGCAGGTGAGAGCCAAATCACAGACACTCCCAGTGCCAGGCTAAGCATTAAGGCTGTATCGTCTGCAGCAGTGTTTCTCTACTCTGATGTTCACTGACATGCATGGGGCCTGGGAAAGCATATTCTCATTCAGTAGGTCAGAGCTGGGCCCCGGAGTCCTCATGTGTAGGAAACTTCCAGTGATGCTGATGTTGCTGTTCCAAAACCACAGGTAGAGTGACAAATCACTAGGCAACCATTGTTGGAGCAAGGGGTGGAGAAGGGTGAGTTGGGGAGTGATGGACAGAAAGCTGCCAATGACAGCTCCCCTAGGTTACAACCAACCATTTAAAATGTATAGGCCTACAATGATTTAATCTAATTTATAGAACCTTTCTATGTTCCACCCACTCTTTCCAGGTGCCAAGAAGGTGCCTTAAGACGTGTTTTAGCCCGCTGGTGTGGCTCAGTGGATTGAGCATCGTCCCATGGACCAAGAGGTCCTGGATTTGATTCCCAGTCATAGCACATGCCGGGTTGTGAGCTCAATCCCCAGTAGGGGGTGTGCAGGAGGCAGCCGATCAATGTGTCTCTCTCATCATTGATGTTTCTATCTCTCTCTCCATCTCCCTTCCTTTCTGACTAAAAATCATTTTAAGAAAATATTTTTTTTAAAAAGATGTTTTAAACCACACTTTTCCTTTCTTTCATGCAGAGCAAGGCTAAGGAACTGCCACTTTCTGCTGTACGTTTTATGGAAGAATTGGGCGAATGTGCCTTTGGAAAGATCTATAAGGGCCATCTCTATCTCCCAGGCATGGACCATGCTCAGTTGGTTGCTATAAAGACCTTAAAAGACTATAACAACCCCCAGCAATGGACAGACTTTCAGCAGGAGGCCTCCCTGATGGCCGAACTCCACCACCCCAATATTGTCTGCCTTCTAGGTGCTGTCACTCAGGAGCAACCTGTGTGCATGCTTTTCGAGTATATGAATCAGGGGGATCTCCACGAGTTCCTCATCATGCGGTCCCCACATTCTGATGTTGGCTGTAGCAGTGATGAAGATGGGACTGTGAAATCCAGCCTGGATCACGGAGATTTTCTGCACATCGCCATTCAGATCGCAGCCGGCATGGAATATCTGTCCAGTCATTTCTTTGTCCACAAGGACCTCGCAGCTCGCAATATTTTAATCGGAGAGCAGCTTCACGTAAAGATTTCAGACCTCGGGCTTTCCAGAGAGATATACTCCGCTGATTACTACAGGGTGCAGAGCAAATCTTTGCTGCCCATTCGCTGGATGCCCCCCGAAGCCATTCTGTATGGCAAATTCTCTTCTGATTCCGATATCTGGTCTTTTGGGGTCGTCTTGTGGGAGATTTTCAGCTTTGGACTCCAGCCCTATTATGGATTTAGTAACCAGGAAGTGATCGAAATGGTGAGAAAACGTCAGCTGTTACCCTGCTCCGAAGACTGCCCACCCAGAATGTACAGCCTCATGACAGAATGCTGGAACGAGATTCCTTCTAGGAGACCAAGATTTAAAGATATTCACGTCCGGCTTCGGTCCTGGGAGGGACTCTCCAGTCACACCAGCTCCACGACTCCTTCTGGAGGAAATGCCACCACGCAGACCACCTCCCTTAGTGCCAGCCCAGTGAGTAATCTCAGTAACCCCAGATATCCCAATTATATGTTCCCAGGCCAGGGTATTACACCACAGGGCCAGATTGCTGGTTTCATTGGCCCACCAATACCTCAGAACCAGAGATTCATCCCCATCAATGGATACCCAATACCTCCTGGATATGCAGCATTTCCAGCTGCCCACTTCCAGCCAGCAGGCCCTCCCAGAGTGATTCAGCACTGCCCACCCCCCAAGAGCCGGTCGCCAAGCAGTGCCAGTGGATCAACGAGCACGGGCCACGTGACCAGCTTGCCCTCATCAGGATCCAATCAGGAAGCCAATATTCCTTTACTGCCCCACATGTCAATTCCAAATCATCCCGGTGGAATGGGTATCACCGTTTTTGGCAACAAATCTCAAAAACCCTACAAAATAGACTCCAAGCAACCATCTTTGCTAGGAGACTCCAATATTCATGGACACACCGAATCTATGATTTCTGCAGAATTATGAAATGCACAGCTTGTTGTAAATGTGGTACACAGGAGAAACTAGAAAGTCCCAGAAAAGATTTATATTCAAATGTTTTTTTTGTTTTTGTTTTTATTAAAGTAAGGTTCTCAATTCAGCAGATATTGCAACAAGTACCTTCTGTGAAGTTTAAGTTGTGTCTTACCAAGCAGGGCAGACACCAGCTGGAAAGAAACGTTGTGGGATGAAGGCCTCATCAGGATGTGTGTCATGGCATTGGGATTCCACGTACTGAAACCTGCAAACTAGCGAAGAGGGAAAGACCCTTGCGATTAAGCATCAAACCAAAAAGGAAAGTCAAATGGTGCTTTGTGTATTTCACTTTCAGTCACCATGACTGGTCTCTCCCCAAAATGTATATACCGTAGCATTTGTCTACCTGCTGTCTTTTCTTCAGGACCTATGTTCAGGAATTATGTTGGTTCAGTTTAAATTCTGTGCATCTTTTTTACGGAAGTGATGTTCAGAATCAATGAGGAAGCCTTAGGCCAAATCTGAAATCCCAGATGGAAATGAGCCATAAGACAAGTGTAAGTTCCCCGGAAGCCTTCTACGCAGCGGGGCTTCTTGGGGGAAGGTGTAGAGAGTGTGGCTCTTTGTGAATCTCCTCTGCTGATCATGAAGGCCTTTTCTACATTTTCTTTTTCCACAGTTTACACAGCCCTTGAAATGATATATGGCATCCAACGATAAGAAGGCTAGATGTGGATGTTGGAATTGATTATTGGTTGATAGTGATAGTTTATTTTATTGCATTAGAAATGAGGCACCAAAGGAGGCAGGCAGGAAAATTGCCCCTTGACCTAGATCAGCATCCATGGGAGAGGAACAAGGGTTCCCATGGGGACAGCCTTGTGGGAGTTTCCCTGGACCAATACATTGACGAATAGAGGTGTGGCTGCAGATCAGCACATCAACGCTTGCAACTTCCCGTCTTTGAGTTGTTCAGTGGACTCTGGGGAAGTAGGAAACTCTATGATACAATATCTAGATAATTTAAAGTTTCTCACTTTTATTTTTTATTTTTTCCTGATCTGGAAGTAGTCACATTTTTTATCTCAGCACCAAGAGTTGCAACAATTTATTCATAGGATTAGTTGGCAGAGCATTAGGACAAATACTATGAATTCTATTTTGTAAAATATTACAGTTGGTTTGTTTTTTTTTAAAAGCAAGTACTGAGTTCTCACTTCAAAGATACCATGAACTGAATTTTTTAAACTAATAGGAGCAACATGATTATTTTTGCCTTAGTTAGAGGGCGGTATCCAATGTGCATCTCATGCCATTTACCTGCTAGCCATCTTTTGCCATGTTTAGAATTCCTATAGATGGGTTTCAAGTTCTATGTAGAAAGGAATGTTATGGTTGATTTTTCTCTTGTTAAAAAATAGCTCCTTTATTCTAAGAACAATGTCTCCAAGTCTTTTTTTTATTTTATTTTACAGCTAAAGAGACTCTTAAAGAGACTTTCCAGATATAGAGTAATTCCTGGAAAAGATATCTGATGAGGAGAATGTAAGAGAATTAGAAGCACATTGATGTTCAATTTTTTTTTTTAAATACCATTATGATGAGAAACCTAGGAAATACGTTTACCAGGATATGTTACAGTTTTTCCAAACACTGAATCTTCCAATAAACAAACATGGACTTATAGGTACTGTGAACTTAAACAATTGGCTATATCCAAATTTATTCAGATAAATTAAGACATTTTTGTGGCATAAATAAGCTGACTCAGAAGTTACATTTCTTAACTTTAGGTAGAGGAGAATATTTGTATCCTTTTGTTGCTATGCAACTGTTTAATGATGAAGATTCAAACCACAATTTTGTATATCATACGACAATCAATTGTTTTCCAAGAATATTTATTTTAAGTAAATACAATTTCAGTGAATCTTGAGTTTTTCTAGGAGTCCCTTAAAGGGAAATTAGCATTCCATGAGCCAGTAAAATGCCTACCCTGGAAAAACATTGCTATGGTAAAAAATAATAATAATAATTCAAGTTAGTTTTTTATAAAGAACTATAACATTTATTTTAAACATTTTATAATTACTGAAGTCATTAAGGTGAGCAAACTAAATTTCAAAACCACTTGTAATAATGTATTTTATAATAGCACTGTGATACTACATAACACCGTCCCTTTTGTATTAAAATAGTATTTTTTCACAAACTGAAAAATATCTTGCTTTGTTGACAATGTTTTTTTGTAAAATGACTTTATTTTCAGATCTTTTCTTTTTTTGCACAAAACTTGTTTATGGTTTGTATCACAGAAGTGAAAATATATCTTTGCATTTTTATATCTGATCTGTTTCCTTGTTTCCTTTTGTGTATTTGTTTTTAACTCAATAATAGATTTCCTTCAAATATATAGTGGCAATATTCAGATATCTCGCCCTACCATATCTTTTCTTATTTTCACTGCATGCATTTAATCACTGTATTACTTTAATCTTTGATTTGTTATTATGGGCATTTAAAATAGACAAGCATGGAATTGTAATGACAAAAAGACTATTTTATATTGAGGATATATGCATTTGTATTTCACACACCAGAGATGATATTAAACACTGATTATTTTATGCTGCTGTTTATTAAAAATGTTTACCATAAAATATTATTTCCTGAATATTGCTATCATGGAAGTATTGGGGAATTTTCACACTATTTCTCCCAATAATTGATATTTCATAGAAAGCGGAATCTTATTTCCTATTTATAGTGTTTCAATGAAATAATATTTTTCAAAACAGGCTCTTAAAAAATACATTTGGGCATTCTTTTGCTAGTGACCATAGGTGGAGGGGGAATCCCAATGGTTTCATAAGCATATATTATTCCACCTACATATGGCAAAATTTTAATTTTTAAAATAAAAATAATATATTAAATAATTGCAACCAATGGAATGTAAAAATTGGATTTAAAAGTTGCGTTCTTTTCTGCCTTGATGCTTACAGATGAAGTTAGATTTCAACAATCATGTCTTAGGACTCTGGAGAAGAAAAAGCTGTGTACGTCTCTGTTCCACTTAGATTCTAACCCTATTGATAAAATAAAATAAATGTGACCGTTCAATTGCCACAGCTTACCTTTATGACTTTATTTGCCCAAAAGAAAAAGTTTCCCATCTGGACATGAATACACACTGTCAAGGAAAATGAGTATCATTATGAAAGTTCAAAGAACTTGTCCATTTCTTCTCTTTAATACAGAAGGGACTACAATAAAACCTTCAGGGCCTTATCCATCTGTTTTAGGTACAGCTCCTGTCTACCACTTCAGCGATCAAACTCAGCAAAGCAATCACTCACATGACAGTGAGATCCAAGTCAGGTTGGATTTCTGCCTCTCACTTGAACCCCTCAATCTGCCTTTCTCTCCCATTGTCTTCTTATGTCGAGGCTCTTCCCTCCCACCAGTCTCAATCCTTCAACTCATCTGCAAGCTCGCAGCACCACCTCAGATAAGGCCTACTGCAAGTCACTAAATACTGATTTGAGAGGAGCTCTATTAACTGCAAACCTTCAAAGTTTGTAGCTCTATGAACTACAAACCTTAACTATCCCCTAGGTTCTCAAAGTATGGTCCTCAGACAAGCAGACCTTGGAGCTTGTTAGCAATGCCGATTCTCAGGCTCCACTTCAAAGTACTGAATCAGAAAATTTGGGGGCCTAGCAATTTGTGTTTTAGCAAGCCCTCTAGTATTGAGAATCACAGAACCATCCTAATTTAAAGGCATAGGTATATATATATATATATGCATTTAATAACATTCTAGCCACTTTAGTTACCTTAAAAAGAAATCAAGTTTATTTAATCACAAATGCAGCACTAAAATCTTTGTGTCAACTGTTTGACAATTGGTTCTGTACTTTTTGCAGTTGGTCATTTGGATAGAAAATGAACAGCACCTAATCTTTGTCCAGAATATATTCCTTGTCCAGTTCACTTAAAACCCACTTTCTTGGATTAGTCACCAAAATATTTTTCCTTCATATGGACAAGCTCAAAAGTGTTGGTTTCTTAATGTACCTCTTTTCACTCATTGTACTGATGGCCAACATAACTGAAAAACCTCTCCTCTGTTGTCTCCTGTCAAAATTAAGGTCAAGGATAAGCTGGTCTTCCTTAGGAGGAGGGAAGACCCAGCTCCCAGGGGGCATTCCCACTCCCCTGAGCTTTCTGTGACAACCTGGCCCAGCAGGGATGGGCTTGTTCCACTGTGGCTTGTTCCACTGTATTCTTGGCCAGCTGCAGCCCAGCAGTCCTCCTTGGCTGGCCCTGAGTGCTCCTCTGCTCAGGCAGTGCTCCCCATTGCCTTTACACCCTCTCGTTGCTCTGAAGAAGGACAGCAAGGGGGATATAAGGGAGGTGCCAGAGTCAATTTCAGACCTCTTAATGTATAGCTTTGTTTTTCAACCAATAGTTCAAATGCTAAGGGGGAAATGCTATTGTACAATATATAAGAGGAGCAGGAGCAATAAAGCACACACATAAGGAAAACTTTTGTAGGCAAAATATGACAGCACCTGAGGTTTGTTACCATAAATACCAGAGCATTAGGACACTTAACTCAGAGGAAGGAAAGACTTAACAAGCTATCAAAGCTCTCTAGGTCAATGGAATCCTCTGGGAAATTAGACTGAGAAGACTTAAAAACATAGAGACACACAGAGAAGGTCTGCTGACATATTTATGACGAGTTGAATCCTAAGCACCTTTGAATCGCTTATTCACATACAAGTACTAGAACATTTGTTGACCAGGCCTGACACATGCTTTTCCATAGCAAAGTGACCAGGTTAGTAAATATTTCTATTTATGAGTGGTTACATTTGGAGAAAAACTCTGCTTTAAAATTAGATGGGACATTGCTTACATTTTTAAATAAATATTTTTTAATACATATTGCTTTCAGAGAGAAAGGGGGACAGAGTAATAGAAACATGAGTGATGAGAGAGAATCATTGATTGGCTACCTCCTGCATGCCTCACATGGGGGATCGAGCCCACAACCCAGGCACACACCCTTATGAGGAATCAAACTGTAACCTCCTGGGTCATAGGCTGATGTTCAACCATTGAGCTACATTAGCTGGGCCATTACTTACATTAAAAAAAGGGGGGCGGGGCTAACCGGTTTGGCTTAGTGGATAGAGTGTCGGCCTGCAGACTCAAGGGTCCCAGGTTCAGTTCCAATCAGGGGCATGTACCTTGGTTGCGGCCACATCCCCACTGGGGGGTTTGCAAGAGGCAGCTGATCGATATTTCTCTCTCATAGATGTTTCTGACTATCCCTCTCCCTTCTCTAAAAAATCAATAAAATATATATATTTTTTAAAAGGTAGATTTTATGCTGAACTAAAGATAATTCAGGGAATTTTCAGTGTTCTTGGTTGTAAATTCGAAGACACCCAAATCAACAGAAGCATCTGCACAAAGCCCTAGACTAATGCTCAAGCTTGCCTGGCCTTAGAGGCACTTGGAAGTTGCTTCAGAAATAGATGGAGATCAGGCTCCATCCTTACCACAGATGCTCCTACACTCCTTGGACCTGAGGACCTTAGCTCCACTTATCCAGGGGCCCCTGCTAATACAATTCCCTGAGAGGTTTCTTTTGAGTCTATACACATTAAAATCTCTGGAAATGAGCTGCAACTCCCCAGTGGCATAGACTAGGTAGTTGACTGAGTCCACCTGATAAGACTAAAACCAATGTTCAAGTAAAATGGCAGTTTAGAGCTTCATTGTATTTCCAGGGTTCACTCTGGAAATAGAGTGTGTCGGTCAGCTTGGCTGCAGGAATCACTCCGAAACCTCAGCCTTGCCAGAGCAAACATTTCTGTTTCTTGCTCGTGTCAGTCAGCAGAGGTGGGCCTGCTGCTGTGCCTGCACCCAGGTCTCTGAAGGAGAGCTGTTCTCATGGCACAGAGAAAGGGCAAGAGGCAGAACCAAATCACAATCACTTATAAAAGTTCTGCTCAGACATGCTATGTCTCCTGCTCTCACATCGCTCAGTCAACACATGTTGAAGCCAAATCCAGCCGTAGGATGGGGATGTCTCAGCCTGCTGAGTGGTGCTGCATGGCACCATTATATTTATGGGCAGGGATGTAGAATTCTAGCTGTTTTCCCCAACCTAAAAAAAAACCCCGAGCAGACAGACTTGGAAGAGCAACCCCAAAGCACCAATATCCTTCTTTCCTCTTGCATTGAGGGCAGACATCATGAACTGGTGCTTTCCAACTGAACTCAATTTTGGCTTTAAGATTTTTAACATAGTGCTCTGAATAACCACCTCATCAGTCAGAAATAGCACCAGGGTGTAAATTTCTCAACCATCCCTGCCCTAGAGCAATACTTGTCAAACCAGGTTGTCATCACTATTGGGGAGATTTCTAATGATTATATCTTCTCAGGACCACCCCAGGATGGACCTTAAAAGAGAAGCTACCGTAACACCTCCTATAAATTCCTTAGCATACACCACTATGCCTAGGCTTCTGTCCTTCAAGGGACCTGGTCAAAGAA